AAAAACTACCAATTATTGATTACAGAAGATATCTTAATTTCAATTAATACAATAAATGCATAGCAAAATTATATCAGTTTGTAGTACAATACAGCAGATGTTGACCTGCATTCAAGATTACCACACCCTAACGTGACCTGCTAAAAAGCTGACTTATTTTACAAAGCTGGCATTGACAAACAATATTTCCTCTAATTCAAATAAACAAAATGTTGCATCGTATATCCCTGACTGTGTCAGTGCGCGATAAAAATGCACAATCAATAACCGCAAAGTGGAAACGGTTTAATAATAGGACACTCATTTAAGGCATTTTTAATACACGTAATCAAGACCACAAATAAAAGCAATGACTGGGTTATTTTTTAGCAATTGCGGTTACGATTATCTGATGCTGTTTTATTTATTTTCAATAAATTAACGTCACCAGTACGGCTTATTACACATTGTACGTTTAACATGCAGGCTTGCTTGAGCCAAATAGTGGAGTATTACCGAATCCAAGCAGCCGCATCGTCATACGCCATGGCCTCGGCCATGTGGTAAATTTGTCAGAATACATCATTTTTTAGAGTTCAAGAATACAATAATAGTTTATATGTTGTTTTTGTATGAAATAAAGTTAGGTTTATAAATCAGTGGTATAATTTAGTATTCGCCAAATCAATGTTTACCAATTAAAACATTGCCTGTTTAAAGCCTCCAGGAATAGCTAAAATGAATGGTAAAAAACAGCATCAGCAGATGAGAGATTAGAGCACCCTTCTCCAGGGGAATAATACATCTTATCATCACCATTGACCAGAATGTGGTTACTTTTCCAAACTGCCTAATCAAAAAGAACAGAAATCATTGCATTTTATGCAGAGCTTTGGTTAGACAGGCTTTTAGTTTAGATAGCGTACAAATTTAGAAAGGTTTCTTTTTAAACCAGAAAGGTTTGAAAATGTTCATTTCTTCATTTTACTTGTGTTTTTTTTTAAATAACTGGTGAGTAAAGTTAATCTTTGATGTGAAAGGCAGAACAAGTGATATTAAAGATCTAATTTTCTAGGCTGTAAGTCAGTCAGGCAAGTATGGAATGAAATTTGAGTCATTGGTGAGTAAAGTAGGAAATCCTCAACTAGCATCTGAAAGGGATTTCTCTAGGTATAGCACTGATGGCAAAATGATAGTAATGATTCCTAACTAACATAAGCTGACTACAAACCAACAAAACACACTTCAAATATTTGAGAGTTGTTTGTTTGGAATGACACTCACATGACTCACCTCAAGATAGTAAAAGATAAAGAAAAGTGTTTCAGTTGAGAGCCTCTGGAAGAACTCCACAGAGTCCATATGCGGTGGCATCACCTGGTGATGATAACTGGGCGTGGGACATGGATTCCGTGGCAAGTAATGCCTAATAAAACAAGAAAATACAAGTTTAAATATCAGCAGCATTTTCTTTGTCGATATGCAGCATTATAATGACATTATTTTAATCATTTATCATTATGCTATTTATTGTTTTGTGTCTAGGAATAATTCATGATAAGAGATTCATACCTGAGTCTTTCTGAATCTGACGGGTGTGGTAGATGATGTGATGCAGATTCCAGCATTGCTTGCTGATAACACTGTTCTTTTGACAGTGGTTGTGGTCCCAGTGGTGCTACCCCTAAGAGAGGTTGTAACGTTATTTCTGTATTTTGCGGATGCGTCACCTGTTGAAGTTCATTTTTTGCACTTTCAAAATAAGCTGTATGACAAAATGAGTAAATAAATCAATTATGTTATGATGTATGTTTTCAATATAAGATACTCACATCATGTACATGTATGTACAAAGTGTGTGAATGCAAATGATCCAGATGACATAAAGCTCTGCAAAATTTATTTATATCTTAACCTATTCACCATCAGTTCCCTCTTTATATACCCTATATATAAAATATGTTTTTGAATTGCAGTCCCTCACCACCTTGGCTATTTTCGCCAATTTTTCGTCACCCGAGCGATTCACGTCCCAAATTTTGGTTCTCGGGCGTCTCTTATAAATACCCCATCTAACCGCTGGACTGAATTAACTAAATTATGAACAATTCATAGAAGATTGGGCGAAAGTCGGTCGTTTTTGGCCTTAACGTTTTTTTGCTCAGAAACGCAAGGGCGATAAGACTCGATTTTTAAGAACGCAGGTCGCTTGGATCGGACGGTTTTTATTATTGTTTCGAGTCTGTTGTGTGTCTAGAAACATAACAACTTTGTGTTTTGGTGAATATAGAACATGCTCTGTTCCAATAAAGGATTTCGATATGCAAATTGAACAATTTTAATAGTTCCTTATTGTAACGTCTCCTATATAAATAGTTCTCTACTCCCCAGAATTTGACAATGGTAATGGCCCAGAATGAACTTTCTGTTCAGCGCGTCTTTGATTGTAGCAATGTTTACGACACTGTACGAAAATACGCACACTCGCACACAAAACAAAAACAATCGACAGAACAAAAACACTACACAGTCATGTAGCCATGCCAGTATGAAAAAGATACTGTGGAACTCATTACAAAAGTAAATACAAAATAAATGTCAGTGAATACAATATTTATTAATGTGCAGCCTCCATTGGCAAGTTCACAGCCTCTAATATTGCAAAACCGTTAGTTGTGAACTGAACTTTAAATCTCATCAGGAAGTTACACAGATAGAAAAAAAATGCAATATTAAGTCAAGGAAAAATAATGCTTTTTGTCAAGGCTATATCCTCATTTCTCTTATTTTGGGGGTATTTTTGTGAGTGCACATGTATGCATTAAAATTATCGTAATTTGAAATGTAATCATAGTACGAATGTAATAAAATTATTGAGTGATTTTGGATTTGTTTGAAAAGTAGCCGAAATGCTGTGACATGCCAGTTTATAAAACAAGCTGGTTGGCTCCCTAAGAAACAAGCAAAATCATGTTTTCGGCTGTTACCATGGTAGGACATGAACGTGAAGCTAACGTCTGGTTATAACTAAAACCGGGCTTTAGAAGTCACTTTATTTTATTGCTAGGACGTGTTCTGCTGTTAAATTTATTATTTCCAACCATTTTTTCGATAGTATTTTCCAGATTGAAGGCAGCATTTACAGTTCATTCATAGTTCAAAGTTGCCTTGGGATTACGTTGATACAGTGTAACAATGTTGGCGCCGGTGATCTCTTACCAGTGTGCAATGTAGCCAAAATAAAAAAAAAGCATGATCATATGAACCCTGCTATTACAAGACTGGCAGGAAGTAATAAATTTGGGGCGAAAGTGTTCAAAAATCTGTTTTTTGGCTGTTGCCATGGCAGTGGTGAGCGAGATTTTTTTTTCAATTAGTGACGGTACTACCTGCCTGTAAAGTATGAACAAAATCGACCAAGCGAAAAAAAACCACAGAGCAGTTAAAAGCTGCTGATGAAAAGCTACCCCAACTTTGAGTTAAGTTTCTCGTTAATGAAAATAGACATAAAAAAAACAGTAAATTTATGCCAACACTCCAGCTGAGTAGAATAAGCTACTTAAGGTAGAGATGCAGTTTATTTGTGAATTTCAATCAAAAATAGTGTTTTTCGTTATATAGATTTTTATCTAAAGAACATTCTGTGAAAATTTGACCAATGAATTCTTATTGGAACACCGTTAAAATTGCTGTTTATTTTCTGGTTAAAAATAAAAAACACTCACACGTGGCAATGTTTATGTCCAATTGCCTAATTTGCATGAGTAATCAAATAACAGGGCCTTTGATTGACA